TCCACATTGATTTCCCCAGTGGTTGTCCTAGTCTACGCTCAAATCGAAAGTGAAGAAAGGGGCCAGGGATTTAGCTCAGTGGTTCTGCCCTCTGCCTCTCAAGAGCAAGGACCCAAGTTCGATCCCTGGTACCAAAAAAGAAAAAAGTGAAGAAAGGTTCCTTTCTCCCCACAGCCCCGTCAGAATTTGTTGTTGGTTGATCTATTGATAGCAACCAACCTACAGTGAGGTGGAATCTTGGCATTGTTTGCATCTCTCAAATGACCAGTGATGTTGAACATTTTTTCATATATTTGCTGCTTCTACTTTTTTGAGAAATTTCTGCTCATTTCAGACGCCCATTTTTGGAGTGGGTCTTTAAATCTGGGAGGTCTGAGTTTTTTAAGTTCTTTATATGTTCTAGATAGTCCTTTGTCTGAAAAATATCTGGTAAAAAAAAATGTTTTCCCCACATTGTGTACGTTGTCTCTTCACTCTTGATGGTTTCTCCTGCTGTGCAGCTTTTCCAAGAAGAGATACCACTTGTTGATTCTTTGTGCTAGTTCCAATGTGACTGAGGCTTTTACCATGTCAGTGTCTTCAAAAGTTCTTACCCAGCCTATCTCCTACCAAGCTTAGTGTTTCTGTTTGGATATTTAGATCTTTGATCCATTTTGATTTTAGTTTAGTGCATGGTGAGAGATATGCGTCTAGTTTTAATCTTTGGTGAGTTGAAACCCAGTTTCCCCAACACTAATTATTAAAGAGGCTACCTCATCCTGAGGGGTTTTGGCTCTTTTGTCAAAGATGAGGTGGCTAAGTGTGTCTGGAGTAGTGTCTGCATCTTCTAATCTGTTCCACTGATCTTTGGTTCTATTTCTTTTGCCAGGACTGTCTTTGTTTTGTTTTGTTTTTAATCACAGTAGCTTTGTAGTACAGTTTCAAGTTAGGGACTGTGATACCCCTACCTGGTCTTTCTTGCCTAGAATTGCATTTGTTATTCTAGGTCTTTTCTGGTTTCAAATGAATTTTTGGATTGTTTTCTCTAGTTCTGTGAAATATGCTGTTGGAATTTCAACTGGAATTGCATTGCATTAATATAGCAGTTTTTGCAATAAAGGGTGACCTATAGATTTAATGTAATCCCCATTAAAATATTAACAATATTCTTCACAGAAGTAGAAAAAATATCCTAAAATTCTGTGGACTCAAAAAGACTCAGAACAGCCAAAGCAATTCCAAGAAAAATACAGTAAAGCTAGAGATATCACAATCATAGATTCCAATTACAATGCAAAATTATAGTAATAAAAAGAACACTGTTCTGGCACAAAGACATGTAGGCTGATGGAATGCAACAGAAGACAGAGAAGCAACCACAGGCACATACAGCCATCTAATTTTTGACAAAAGGCTCAAAACACACACATTGGAGAAAAGACAGCCTCTAACAAATTACTGGGAAAACTGAGTATTTATTTATAGAAGACTGTCTGTCCCTATCTGCCTCCCTATTTGAAATCAAATCAAAATGGATCAAAGACTAGTCATAACAGAAACTGTGAAACTGCTTCAATATTGGGGAAACACCTGAAGACATAGGTACTAGCGAAGACTTCCTGAAGAGGACCCATTATAGCACAGGAAATATCAAGAATCAAGAAATGTAATTACATTAAATTAAAAAGTTTTCTTACAGCACAGGAAACAATCAGCAGAGTGAAAAACCAACTTATAAAACGGAAAAAGGTCTTAGTGGCTAGTTTTGTGTTCTAGTATCTAGAACATATAAAGAACTAAAAAAAAAAAAAAAAAGAAAGAAAAAAAAACTAGCCTCCTCCAGACAAATAACGTAATAAAAAACCAGGGAAATTAACTGGAAGACACTTCTGAAAAGAAAGAGACACAGAAAGAAAGCACACAAATAGTATATGAAAAATGATAAGCATTTTCAGTCACTGGAGAAACACACATCAAAACATGGAGGTTCCACCTTATCTTAATGTTATGGTTTGGATGGAGAATGTTCCCCAAAGGACTTTAGACACTCATAGGCAGGGCTTTTTAAAGATAACTGAATCAAGGGGGTGACATAACTGACTTGCTGTTAGGACGTGGGTCTGTTTAGAACAGAGGGGTCACTAGGACCATGACCTGTAAAGGTATACAGGTTCTCTGCTTCCTGGCATATTCTCTGTTCTCTGCTTCCTGGCATGATGTGAACAGTTTTCTTCCTCTATGGCCCTCTGCCAAGTCCTTCTGCCTTGGAGCTAACTACAGACTGAAACTTGTGAAAATGTGAGCCTTAAAAACCTCTTTGCCTTTAAACTGTAACTGATATTTTGTCCTAGCAATGAGAGAGAGAATGAGACACCCAGACAGAATGGTTATCATAAAAACACACAAAACAGTGAATTCTGACAAGGATAGAGGAATGTGAGAAGAAACCCTTCTATATTATTTTTGAAAATGTAAGCTAATAGAATTATTATGTAAATTCCTGAAAAAACTAAAAATAGAAACTCCATTTGACTCACCTTACCTCCCCAGGGTATATTCCTGAAAGACTTTAATACATTGTACTATACTGACACATGCATACCCATGTTGACAGCAGTGCAAGTCACAATAGCTAAGCCCTCAAAACAATCTACATACCCATCAACAGATGAATGGATAAAGAAAATGTGGTACACTTAGACAATGGAATATTAATCAGCCATAAAGAATGATATCATGTCATTTGTATGAAAATGGATGGAACTTGAGATCATCATGCTAAGTTAAATGTGCCAGACTCAGAAAGTTAAAGATCATGTGTTTTCTCTTACATGAAAAAGCTGCAATATAAACAAATGAACCAATAAAGTAAGAGAGATGATAGGCAACTGCAAGGTAGACTCTTGAAGATGGGGAAGGAGATAAGGGGGAAGAATGGGAGAAGGTAAAGGAATGTTCATATGCGAATTCCCCAAAAGAATATGCACTTTAAAAAACTGAATTTCTAATTTAAGTCTTCTATTATATTTCTTAGCAATGTCTGGTCATTTTCCCACATCTGCTCTTCCAAGTCATCAGGTTCATGCCCACATGTTTTACATGTGCATAAATTCTTGTGAATGGAACCTTTATTTCCCAGTGTATTCACTAATTATTTTATTTTATTTTTTAATTGAGTTTATTGGTACATTTTAGGTATACAATACAGTTACATTCATTACTGGGACCTTGTGCCTTTACATGACAGGTCTTGGTTCTCATTTTTTTCCCCTTATCCCTACCCTCCCTTCACCCTCTCCTCCCCTCCCATTTACAAACACTTTATTTCTATTTTTTCATTTTCTCATATTTTTTTCTTTTCCCTTATTACCTTTCCCCTACCCTTCCCACTTTCCCTAAACCTTTAGCCCTTTCTTCCTATTTCACATGGTCAATTATCTCATTAGGATCTTATGTACTATTATAGTTTTTCACACCAGAGAAACTATTTGGTATTTACACATGTGTGACATATATTTCACTTAGGAGTATCTCCTCAATATGAATCCATTTCCCTATGAATGAATCTAATTTCTCATTCTTTATGGCTGAGTAGTATTCCATTTTAAAAGCAGCAAGTAAATATATGAAAAAATGTTCCACATCATTGGTCATTTGAGAGATGCAGATGAAAACAACACTGAGATTCTACCTCACCCCACAAAGAATAGCTGCTATCAAGAAATCAACCAATAACAAATGTTGGCGGAGTTGTGGGAAGAAAGGAACCCTTCTCCATTGTTGGTGGGAGTGCAGACTGGCACAACCACTATGGAAATCAATATGGAGATACCTCAAAGAGCTGGGACCAGAGGTTCCATTTGACCCAGCCATCCCTCTTTTGGGTATTTTTCCAAAAGAATTAAAAGAACCATACCACAGTGATATATGCACACCTATGTTTATAGCGGCACAGTTTGTAATAGCTAAAATTTGGAAACAGCCCATTTGCCCATCAGTTGGAAACTGGATAAAGGAGATGTGGTTTTTCTAGAAAATGTTTTGGTATTTTAATCTGAAAATTGCCACTTAAATGTTTTCTTAGTTTAGTAGTCATCAGTTGATTTCTGTGGCTTATGTCACATTTACAAATATTTGTTCTTCCTTTAGTTTTACACTATTTCTTATTTTACTATAATGGTAAGTGCTTCCATAACAAAGGTTAAGTAATGAATGGAGTCATGAGCAGATTTCTCTGTCTTCTTCATGGCATTAAGAATTTTTCTGCCATGAACTATTAAGTTCCATATTGAATTCTGAGCCATAATTTATCACATTATGTGATTTTTAACCTGTAATTTACTGATAATTACTAGGAATTTAAATCATGAATCAATAAATGGAAGAATATTAACCTTCATATGTGGTTTTATTATAAACAACTTATGGTAGAATCTATCTATTTTTTATTTATCATGTTATGGGATGGTAAAAATAATGGCAAAAGGAAAAAGTTTCAAATAAAGATAAACATAATTTTAGGTAGAGAGTTACACAGTGAGACAGTTTGTAGTGAAATCATTGGAGAATGTTAATGTTAAAATAGCAATTCCCATTTCTTGTTTTCTTATAGCTCACAAGTATAAATCTATAATTAAAAATATGTACTTTTGCTCTAAGAAGCTACTAGAGAGGTATTATAAAGAAAGTTGGAAAAAACCCTGTAAGATCGTAGAAAATTCACAGTAGAAAAATGTCACTTAAAGTCCCAAGAACTTAACATTTTGTTAGCTCTGGGAAAACTGAAGAACTTAACATTTTGCTAGATCTGGGAATACTGTACATATTAAGTAAAAAAGATTAAGCTGTACTAACAAATGTATCAAAGGTGGAGTCTGGAAAATTCTAAATATGAATTTAACATTCTGTTATTAATAACCACAAATATACATCTACACAGATGTGTCTATGCAAAACCAGGATTATTTTTTATTTAATGTTATCTGGTGCATTCAATAGCAAACACAGACTGTGAACAGTACCTGTTTTGTCTGTCAGTAAGTATACCAGGCGCCCCAGTTCCTCTGGTATGGTGCTGGTCCGAACGACTGTACCAGGAATATTCTCATCTTTCATGATCATCCATCCATATGCTGCTTTGCCCATGTCCAAGTTTACACGCAAACTGCCAAGTAAAACCGTCATAATGAGCTATTAAAAAGCTCTAAAAAAATGATATGTGACTATGTTCATATTCATGGTTACATGTGAACATAGTTACATGTATTCTTTAATTTTCAGGGAAGTAAACAGATAATATTAGTTTCAGACTTTAAAATAAATGAATTTGTAGTTATTTACTTTGGCCAATGCTTTTATACTCCAGATAATGCTTGCAAGTTACAGCAACATGGCTAACTTCCTTCCAGCTGAATTTGTGATTCTAGATGGAATAAAAAGAAGCAGTTTTAAGCGCCCTATTCAAGTACAAAGTACTATGGGGAGCAAAGGCGAGAGTACACATATTTAAGGAAATCAAGTAGTAATTACTGCAAATAAATATGTGCAAGAGATCTTTATCCACTTGTTACCTGAATGCCCTGTGTTCCAAGTACTAAATTGTAGAACACAAGAACAAGATATGATATAATCAATACAAAGGAATGTGTTACTATGCTCTCAGTTTTTTTGGTTAAAGCTATATAGCAAAGGGCCTGGGATTTAGCTCAGTAGTTCCAGCGCCTGCTTTGCAAGCGCAGGGACCTGAGTTCGATCTCTGGTACCAAAACAACAACAACAACAATAACAAAACCAAAGCTAGATAGCACGACTGCAATTTTAAACACATGATTGGACACCATACCTGGAACAATTCTGTCTGGAAGTATGGAACTGGAACACATGGCCTCAAAATGGGCCTTCTAGGCCTTAACTAAAATGTGGCTATATAAGAAGATACATTAAAATTGCACCATAACAGCACAGCTCTTCCCATTTACCAACCAAGTAATTTAAAAGTTTAATTTAACTCTATCAAGAAAACAGCAAATAGGATGCACCTAAATCTTGGAGTGATATTGCTAAAAGCCAATCCATTCTGACCCACCAAAATGGTAGTTCATGTGGTTCAGCCTATTAATGAATACACACTTGAAAAACAATCTTTAGGAACTGGTCAGTAAAGAAAATCTGTACATTAAAGAACATTACACAATAATTTGCTTCATCTATTCATAAAGTTCACATTTTAAAATGATATGAATTATGTATACTAGCTGGAAGGAAAATCCGTAAGTACTAATTAATACATATGCCTTTCAAGCCAGTACTTCATCATCTTTCAGCTACTTCTCTGTCAGCTGTGAAGAGTCAATTTCTGAACGTAAGTACAATCCCACAATGCAAGAAAAGTTCAAGAAACATGAGACATGTGACTGCCAATGGCTATGAAGTCATAAGACTGCTGAGTATAGGTTTAAGATATGAAAGATTTGAAGAAGGAAAAATAATTTTTTAATGCAGACTCTGCTTTGATTAGGGGTTTGAAGGAGTCACTGTGAAGCAGAAAAATAAAGGTCACATGTTGCTTGGATGAAACAAACATACCCAACTGGGATGCAGAAAGGCGGGTGAGGCAGCCAGGGAGCAAGCCCAGAGAAGAGGACAGGCATGGCAGGGGATTGGACACATAACTTTCATAGCTCTTCTTCTGCTGCTCAAGGATCTGTACTTTGGAAAAACATTACAGTTTCTCTATGTGTTGTATTATTTTGGATTCTAATCACATTATTTTGGAAAATATCAGCCTACAGAGGTTATGACCTACCACTGGGTTCAGGGTAGTAGAAACCAAAGGAAGTATCTACAAGCCTCTTCTTCCTGAGCAATTTATGGTTTAATAAAACAATTTCTGTTGTTCAAAAATTGCAGGAATGCATTATCTTATGGAACATCATATTATAAATAATTACCACTGGGGCATTTTAGGTTGAATACACATATACCCTTCAAAGATTGTATAAAGCAGTAGCTCCTAGCAGAAAAGAGAAGAGAGAGAATCCTCAGGGGTTAAAGGAAAAAGAATGACACCCAAACACAAGTTCACAGTTTACCAGTGAAAAGCACTGAGTAAAATGTTTTCTCAACTAAGACAATGTTACTACACAGGAATAGCCTGTTCACATGAACTATGATTCATATTACATATCTGATCAAATGCTCAGGAAGTAATTTTGTTTTCAATGTTGAAAGTATCTATGATGCTCAAATTTCAAATGCTAAAGTAGGCATAGTAATTATTATCATTGCACTGAATGTTTTAGAAATACCCTATTTTATACAATTTCAAAACACAAATCTCCACCTAACTGTAAAGCATCACAAAAACACAGTACTAAACCTGTTTTGCAAAGGATTAGAAAAACAGATTGCATGGTAATAGATAATAGATACATTTTAAATTCACTGTATTGCTGATTTAGCAACTATGAAACTGTTATCGAGACTTATCCCAGGACAGTGGAAGTTATTTGCATTTCAGATGGCTAACTAAACGAGGAGGCAATTATGACTTTTATCACTATATAGTAAATTTGAAATGAATTATCTGGAATAGTGTGTTCAGTAATGTTACAAATAGAAATGTATCAATCTTTTTGCTACAGTAAGAAAAGTATGAGGTAAGTTTTACAACCTAAGAATGTTAGCTCTTAATATCCAAACAATCTAATCCTTCAACTAGCAAATATTTTCAGGAGCTAACTTGGACTCTGAATAAATTTGAAGTGCATCTTCCTAAAATAAACACTTTCCTAAAATAACCCCTCACCCCTGAGCTCCAGGATGCTCCTATATTTAAGCTCTAATTTGTTACAATTAAACCTCTGTACTGTACTTATCACTGCCAGGTAAGCTCAGTTCTCACAGTTTATCTGAGAAATGCAGGCGATTCTCCTCAGGGAACAAATCTACCTGAAATAATTCACATGCAAATTCTAATCTGACCAAAAGAAAAAAAATCATTTTAATTAGAAGTTTTATCAAAAATATTCAAAGACCTTTTTCTATAAATATTAACTTAGAAAGGATATAGATGCATTTTATCTGAAAATTTCCAAACAGTATCCATTCTTCATAATGCACTATGGCTGGAAGCAGATGTCATGAAGACATTTCACTGAGTGAAGTGCCTAGTATGACCATGTGAAGACAACGCTTCAATCTCAAGGACCAGCTAAGGTCTCCTTGTGGGCTTCTCACTCATACACACACACACTGCTGTCTAGAGGCCACCTGACCTTAAATGGATCAAACACCTTTAAATGAACATGTGCACAGCAGAAGATAACCAATCTACATCTTCTCCTTCCTGGTAAAACAAAATGAAAACAAAACAAATTTATTCCTCCTTAATGAGGAGAAAATTTCCCATTTTCAAGTGATCAAGATCCACCATTGCTCCAGCCATATGTCAGGAAGTATTGTAGGTTCCCTTTTCATTTTATATCTATATCCAAGTGGTCATGAACTCCTGCCAACTCAACCTGCTAAATTCTTCTACAACTGCCTTCCATGCCTCTGGAGAGGAAGCAAAGATAAGAGAACTCTATAGGCCTGAAAATAGATATGATTTGTATTGATTCCTAATTATGACATGTGCTAGCCCTCATGATCTCAGATTTATTCTTTCTGGGCCTCAAACTAGGCAAGTAATGATAAATACTAGTAGTGATGCATAAAGGTGAATGCAAATTACTCCAGTGATGTCGGAAGTTGATTATTGGTCTTAATCATCAACAAATTTTCTACAAAAAAGATACCCTGAACTGTGATGAGACAGACAGATGGAAGGAATATCTTTGTATAAGCATTTAAAAGGGGGCAGTGCACAGCAAAGCTCAGAATTCAGAAGGCATACCAGGTATATCATTCATGACACACTTCTTCAGTCACTTTTATATTGCTAGGACACAATACCCAACACCCACAACTTAAAGAAGGAGAGGTTTAGCTTGGCTCACAGTTTGCAGAGGTTTTGGTCCATATTTACCTGGTACTAAGGCAGGGCAGTATGGCAGAAGGGGATGGCACACAAAAAGCAGAGAGGATTAAGGGAGGAGCCAGGACAGAAGACCCGCTTCTTCTTACCAGACCCTCTCTCTTAACAGCATGCTAGCCCATAATACCATGAAACTTTAGGGGGAAATCTAGATATAAAACATAACAACTGATAACTGAAGAAATCGAGGTTGGAGTATGCATTTGAAAAAATGCTAAAAGTAGTAAGCTTTAAAAGTTTATAATTTGAAAGATGAAACATATTGCATATTACAACATTAAGGAAAAATATGTATATGTAAACATACTGTTGCTATACAAAATAGATCAAGTAAACACACATACTGTTGCTATATGGAATATGCATGTCACATACGCATACACTTGCTATATAATATAGAATACTCATATCATATGTATATAAATATATTCTGTTGTTATTCAGAATATACATCATAAATATAACATACATCTTGTATACAAAATATATCACATGTATAAAAACACTGATATGATAGAGAATATACATGTAATATATAAAATGTACATACTGTTAGAATACAAAATATGTCACACATATATAAACATATGCACAAAAGAATGTAGGTGTGTGGTCAACACTTCATATTAATACTGTGAAGGGAATGAATATTCCTATGAAAAGATTAGAACTTCTTTTAGGTCATAGGTCAAGGAAACATTAGTTGATTAAATGCCTTGAAAGTGCAAGGTCCCCAATTTGATCCCCAGTACCAAAGAAAACAAAAAACAAACAACAATAACAACAAGAAAACAACATACAACTTATTTACTTTTTGTATATGCAAATTAGAACTGATAATATTTGAATACTGTTTGTTTAATTTTGCTTTAACAATGTTAAAATAATAAAGTATTAATATTATTAATTTGTTTTCTAAAATTAGTCTTGCAAGTCAAATGTGCTACTTTTTCAAAATTTTGTTAAGTTTGACCTGAGGATACTTACACACTTGAGCCTTTTGGTTTAACAAGTAGTTCTTTAAAACAAACAAACAAACAAACAAATAAACAAAACAGAAGAAACATGAAAGAAAAATAGAAAAAAATGAGACAAGATTCATCAATGTTTTTATGAGAATGCATAAT